GATCAGCCTCCACTGTTCATGATGTCCTGGCTAATATGCCTTTAAATAAGGTATTGCTTAGGGAAGCCCGTTCTGCAGTGTCTCGGTCTCAGGAATTCTGGACACAATTGGCCAGCCTTTGCAGCAGCTCTATTTTCTTTTCTGTATTTTTTCCTCCTCTTTCCCTGGTGGCTAGTGTTTTTTTTTTCCTCTTACCCCAGAATCATGGTGGCCGTCTCCGTCTGAGCTGCTTTGCCCCTGTGGTTGACCGGAACTGCGCAGATGCCGCTATTCTGCTTGCACCTGTGCAGTAGAGTCCGGTTTTCAAGAGCATGGCGCCCGCCCCTGCTCTGCATATGCGCGGGCGTTCAGCCTGGCACTTTCTGTGAGCTGTCACTTTTAAATGTTCACAGGAGGACACCGCTTAGCTGATCCGTGTCTTGGGTTTTTCCACACGCTGCGCCACTCTACCTACCCTATACCACCACCTTAATTTTGCAAGTCCTTCATTTTTGTTTTTGACATCTTCCTGTATCCTCATACAGTCCCATCTTCTATGGATGCTTTCTACCCTCCTGCCTACCTTTCTATAGCCCTTGACCTTTCCTTTTGTCCTATACCCACAGAGCATGGCTGATCACTCTACCTCAAAAGACGCTGCCTCTCTAATAAGTTAAGGGCGGAGTAAGTAATTAAGCAATTTATCATTAGAGGCGGTGAGTGGGAGGTTTATAACAATGTTATGATTTTTCAGCCCTCCTCACGAAGATCATCATCGCAGACACAGATCATCATCCTCCCATCACCACCATTCCAGGAGACACAGTAGTTCTCGCTCTGCACAGCGTTAGCACCATTTTGCAACCGGTTCCCACTCCAGTCAACAATGCCCAGACAGGTCTACATGCTGGCTGTGTGGCAAGCGACCACTTTAAGATAAGCTAGTGTGCCAAGGCTGCTTGAAGGAAGCAACACAAGATCAGTTACCTCCTGCTCTGGATGTTATATCGCTAAATAACAAAGTCCAAATCCCATTCGCACTGCCACGGTCTCAGAACCACAAGGTATATGTGGTGCCCAGGTGACCACACGGATATTACTAATATTACACTAATATAATATAACACTAATATTAAATAAAAGTAATTCACCGGCACACACTTGAAGGGTTTTTAAAGTATTGATATGTTTATTCAATACCCAATGTCACATACTGTCATACGGTGCTAACGTTTCGGGTCCGCACAGGGATCCTTCATCAGAGCGATTAGGTGTCACTGTTGCTCTGATGAAGGATCCCTGTGCGGACCCGAAACGTTAGCACCGTATGACTATGACAGTATGTGACATTGGGTATTGAATAAACATATCAATACTTTAAAAACCCTTCAAGTGTGTGCCGGTGATTTACTTTTATTTACTATATCGCTAAATAAGCCAACAGTCAAGGACCTAGTACCCCACGGTCTGCCAAAGAAATTGTGAACTCTGATGACTCTGACCAGATCAGGAGATCCTGAGTCTTTATCCTCTTCGGGGTTTGGTTTCTCCCTAGTAGACCTTTTTATGGTAGTGGTCAAAGAAGCAATCGAATGAGAGGAATGGATCAAAGAACCAGCTAAATTGCTGAAATATTTCTCTCAATTGAAGAAGAAAAGAAACACTCTTCCTTACAAGCAAGAAATAAGGGATATTATATCTGACGAGTGGGAAAAGGTGGAGAAAAAGCCTGGTCTAAATAACTAGTCCACTGTTACCACTGTTCTTAGCAAGCCAGTCCAAAGCAATGACGTGCATCTAATGCTGCAGCGAGTACATGTAGACAGTAAAGAGGCCAGAGGACATTAGCAGCACTGAGATGCAGCAAAGGATAAAAAACATGTGAAAAATTTATGAAAGAAAAAAAATGGAAATTGTTTTTGATACACTGTGCATTGGCAAAATAATGCAATCCAGTTAGGGCTTAGATCTACAAATGCAGATACTGATCTGCTAGCATTCTGGCAAGAGGGGACATACAGGCATAAGCAATGGTATTAAAGCTACCCCAGGATCTTTTGCTTCAAAAAGATCCTCTGTAGTCTATGTCTACCACTGTAGCGGTGAGTAATTTGTTAGATATTAAGGGCTTAATATGTGGCTCCTGATTCCCACAAAGCGCAATACATTACATTATCTATTGCTTTGTCTATAAAAAGGTTTAGGACAAATACACAATAATTTTTTAGTCACTGGAATATATTATAGTCTACAAATGTCTGCCGCTTCATGGACAGTGTAATTATTGTAGTGGGTGCAAGCTGTTAATTATTTTACTTTTCAGCAAGTTGAATGATTCGTATACTGTATTTAATTTATATTTTAAATGTGTATGTGTTACAGCACAATTGTGAAATATGATGAGATTACTAAAGCAAAAGTGGGTTGAGGAGGGAACGGCAATCAGGAAATCCCTATCACATTTGAAATTAAATATCACTAGAAGTTTCTCTATAAAGGCAGTTTTTGTGAAGCAGTGGATAACTGGTCAGGAAGTGCAGTTCATCAGTGTCCTACTACAGCTCAGTGTTATGTTGTTAAGCTGCTTAGTCTTCTGTTAATAACAACAACAAAAAAATAATTTAACCAAGTGGTTCAGCCATGTAACAATGAACTGCAGCAGGATGCTGATAAATTGCAGTTATCGACCTGCTCTGGGTCACTGATGCGGTCTTGACATTGTGTTTTGTGAATGTATACCTGATGGATTATGGGGCTCACTGACCCTGTTACTCATCATTGACCTATTAGGGAATACTGTCACTGCAACAATTCCTATTTATTAGGTACCGTAAAATTAAAAGATATAGTGGTGGGATGGGGCAAGGAATACTGTTGGTTGAAACTGGCTAATAGCAAATACTAAACAATTTCCATGTTACAAGAGGTCAGACATGAGTAGCACAGGAGCTGCACACTTCAAAAACATTGTTTTGCAGAGTACAAATTGTGGTAAAATTTAGTATCCCATAAACAGGCCTGCTGAAATTGAAGCAGCTTCATTTTGTAACAGTAAAGTGGGCAGAGAGTGTGTCAGCAGCAGCAAGGACATGGATGGTGGCATGAAGAAAACTAAAGCAGGTTATTAATAAAAAAAAAAAAAAGGAACACCGGTGACGCAAAAGGAGGAACACCAGTGACACCACTGACACACACAAAAAAAAAGACAGTGAATATATAGCACAGACAATAATACTATATACAGTAGAGAGAATAGCACTAACATGCTGTATAAAGCACTGACACCAGTTATGTTTCCCTACACTACAATCTATCTTTAACTCCAGCAGCTCACTACATAAGGCTGCGGTGTAAGCAGCCTTATAAGGCTGCGGTGTAAGCAGCCTTATATAGTGTGGGGCTGGCACTTAGCTATGAGCCATGATTGGGCAAAGTCATCATTACTTTGCCCAATCATGGCTCTTACAGTGCACTGTGCCGTGATTGGGCAAAGTCTTGCACCTGACCTGTGGTCAGGTGCATTGCTTTACCCAATCAGGGCTCTCACAAGACACTGTGCAGTGTGCTCGGTGGCAAATAACCCGCCAAACACCCTGATAGTCCATGTGTTCGCCGAACACACGAACTAGCAATGTTCGAGTCGAACAGTTGTTTATCTCCAACATTGAAGCCATCACTACTAAGGACTAATGTTCAGCTGAAACCTGAAACTATCCCACCCTCCCACAGTGAGGTGTCTTTAACCTGGAGGGGTTTAGCAAGCTCCATTTCAATTAAAGTTGCCACACTAAGAAAATAATAATTTATAAATAATTTTGACTGAACGGGTTAATTTTAAGGCCAAACAGATTAACTATATCAATGGATATCATTTTATTGATCTGTCAGATCAATATCTGAATTACTACAGCTATCTTTGAAGAGCACTAGTCAACCAAGCATCACCAACAGCGTGACAATTCTAGATACAGTGTGGGGCCATTTTCACAGTCGTACGCAAATGCATGTCAGAAGAAAAGTACAGATACACTGGAAGGGTGGGGGGCATAGCACATGCATAGCGGACTGAAAACATAATGGGGGGAATTTATCAGAACTGGAGCAGACAGAATTTGGAGCCGTTGCCCACAGTAACCAATCAGCTTGTCTCTTCAGTTAAGCTTTGAAAATGAAACGTAGAAGCTGATTAGTTGCCCTGCCAGTTTTTGTCTCCTCCAGTCTTGATAAATTTCCCTCACTGAGCTCCTACTTACACCTGGGAAAAAATTCTCACCCTGCTCTTCCATAGCACTCATCTGCTCTCCCTCATGGGCCATAGTAGAAAGGGCCACACAAGGGCCACTACTGCAACATGCCTATCTGCTGTCTTGAGTTATGTTTTTCTTTTCTGAAAACCCAAAACCTACACTTATGAGAGGAAAAAAAAAGCCTTTAAACTTGTCAGTCAGGCTGCAGTCACATGGGCCATTCTGCCGCTAGCGACCAAATCGCCTTGCCTGTTGCTATGGAATCACTCCCAACTCTAGGCCTCAAACGCTACGGAATCTCGAACGCTAGCAACGAGAACAGCATTTCCGTTGCCTCAGCCAGCGAATGAGTGACTCCATCTGGAGAAACCGGCAACCTCTGAGCGATCCTGTCAACGGCGACACCAAAAGCGGCCTTATTGTAACTATTTCTAACAATATTTGTTTTAGGACACCATGGTGAAAAGAACTGAGGAGAATCAGTACAAGAGTGCCTGACATTCCCTTCTTTTCAGTGACTCTGTCACCCTTTCAATCATTCTACCACAGTTGTGACGCACAAGTTTCGATTGAGCTCCCCCACCTTTCCCCTTTTTTTTTCCCACAGCACTCCACTTCATAAAGGCGGGAACGCATGACCCCGCCCATTTCCTCCGTACAATGCAACGTCCCTCGCGTCACCGCGAGTTAAGGCAGAGAGAGCGAAGGCAGGTAGGCTCGGCGTGGTGACGTCACCTCGCGGCTGCTCTCGCGCCCTGCCCACCCCCTTTCCCTCCTCAGCCTGTGAATGAGCCGTTAGAAAATGGCCGCCGCGCCGAGCGGAGAGGAGAGACTGTGAGTGCTGGGTCTCGGCCGGTCTATGTCTCCCCCGTCCCCTCCCCATCTTTTCCCGCCCTCTTCCCGCTTGCATTACGCTTTGCCGTTATCTCCTTGTGTGTGAGGGTGGTAGGGGGGGCGGGGTCCTACAGGGTGTCTTTTTTATTTTACTGCATCTCTGAGGCTAAGGGGGGCGGGGCCGTGTAAGAAGAAAATGTCACTGTCACTTGCTCGCTGCTCATTGCTTTGCTGTCATGGGGGGAATTGTCACAGTTGCGGTGCCCCCCACCCCCCTTCTTTTGCCTAGGTTGACATTTGCTCAGTGCGTCATTGAGCCCCTGTTAATGGGGAGGCCCCGGACCCTCCATAGTGAGGGACAACCAGGGTCCCCGGGTGAGGGGTCCCTCTGCATGACACACCTCTCTTTTGGACACATCATGATCCTTACAAGTGGCCCTGCTGTGTTCTCCAGTACGTGTTTGTGCAATGCTCCATCAGTCAGAAGTTCGCACACTTAGCCTGCAAACATTATTGGGAGCATGAGCGTTAAAAAAAAGCCAAAATGTTGTTCTGACGTTTACCACATTTGTCGTGCGTTGTGTACGTGGTTTCATTTTCTGTCACCGACTAACTTTATGTATTTCATGTAAAAGAAAAGGCGTCACGATAACTGGCCTGTGACACGGTACCCCCCTCCCCCCCTTTTTGCTCCGATCCGCCATGTTTACGTTTTGTAATAAAAGGCTTTATGAATA